ATAATCTGTACGATTTTTTTTATTACAATAATTTAATTCTTTTTATCAGCAGTCCGTAATGTGTTCCGGACGTTCCTCCGGTGATACCATACAGACTGGCATTCCAAACCCAATAAGAAGTTACATTTCGTCAGTTAGCATTTTGTTACTGTACCTTTTTTTTTTTTAATAAATGATGAATTTTCAATTTAGTTTTTTCCTATTCAGTTGTGAGATTAGTGAGATAATATGTTCGGGATATAAGGAAAACTTACATTATACTCTTGATTTTATTTTAAAATTTTAATTAAATTTTAATATTTTATTGAAATAATTTTTTAAAAAAATTTTAATATTTTATTGAAATAATTTTTTAAAAAAATTTTAATAATTTGAACAATTTAGTTATTTTTCCTTGCGGATAGATTTAATATCCATTTATATATCATTTGTATAAATAAAATATTGACACGTTATTATCAACGTGGTAAGTATTGATCTTATTTATATAAATACAATACAAACAAAGTTAAATTTTTAAAAATTTATTTATTTTTGAATAATTTGAAATTATTTACATATATTAATTGGAGAAAAAATTTATTTATTTTTGAACAATTTAAAATTATTTACATATATTAATTAAAGAAGGAAAAATGAATTTCGTGAGACTCAAATATACTATCACATGAGATGAACAGTTCTCACCCAAGGTTCATATCACTGAGCTAGGGCAAGTTAATATAAAAATTTATTTATTTGAATAAAATTTTAAAAATTTAATCAATAATTTAAGATAAGTTTAAAAACTTAATGTGGGTTTTGGCCGGAATATAATAGAGTTTTCCTCTGAAATAAAAAGCTGAATCTTTTTGGTAACTTTTTTCTTATATAGAAAAAAATATAATACCGTAGCAATTTTTAAACCATCCAACATACAAAGATTTTTCCAAAAAAATGAAAAAAAATCAATGTAAAGAACAAGATCCAAGTACTCATCGGCACCCCAAAAGAGAAAAAATGTACTGCATGAGCAATGACATTTTTTACTAAAAAACAAAATTATCAAATAAAGGTATTTTTGTATTGAGTTGGTTACTTTATAGTTTAGATGGTACAAAAATATAAAATAGTTGGTAAGAAAAGTACTTTTAATATTAAAAAATTTAGATGGTACAAAAATATAAAATAGTTGGTAAGAAAAGTACTTTTAATATTAAAAAATTTATATTTTAAGTGTGATATAATTTAAATTATAAAATATTTTATATATTTTGCAAAGAAAATTAAAAATTTAAATGATAAATATTGGTTTTTAATTATTATTATTTTTACTTGAAATTTATTTTAAATTAATTTTTTTTTCACTTTTTTAGATAAACAAATATTTTTCTCCTTATTTAATCTTATTATTATTATTTATTTATTTTAATTAATTATCTTACCCAGAAAAGTATATATTTATATTTTAAAATTCTTCTAAAAATAATATAGGTAAATATATGAATTATCTTTAAATCTTTAATTTGGAAAAAAAAAAACAACTATTTTATTCTTTCTTTTTCAAAATAAATGTATTTTTTTTTAACAACCCACTTTAGTCTAGTGGCAGTTTAGCTCCTGTGAATTATATGATTGAGTTCCACATAATCCCATAAATGTAGTTTTTTTGAATTTTTTTAAATTAAAAACTTTAAACCATTTACATATTTACTTATATTACCTTAAAAAACTAAAAATATAAAATGATATTTTTAATAGATTATTAATTAAAATAAATAAATAACAATAAAATTAAAGTAAAAAATATTTATTTATTTTAAAAAATAAAAAAATTATAATTAATTTAAAATAAATTTAAAATCTAAAAAATATTTTAAAGTAGAATGTGTAAGAGATAGGATTAATTTAACAAATAATCTATTAACTTTCATATTTTTTTCAGTTTCATTTATTATCTTTGAATTCTTTCAATTATGTTTATTATCTTTTACCTTTATTTCAATTTCATCTAATTAATGTAATTTTCTTATTCTCTAAGAAAATATTTAGTCTTCTAACTATATTTATTTTGATCTTTTAGTTGTTAAATTTACATTCACCATAAAAATAGTTTTTAATTTTATCTTGTTAAATGTGTTCTTCATAAAACTATTTTACAAAACGGATTGTTTGTAGTCTATCATGTAAAATTATTTAAATGTTCTTAATTTTATTTTTATATTATTTTTTCAAAAATATTTAAATAATTTTTCAAGACAGACTACATATAATATGTTTTGTAAAACAAACTAGTTGCTCAACTTTATTACAAATTTTAATTAATTTATCTCTTTAAACTATTTCTTGAGTTATCATATTTTTTTAGGATTATAGCATCATTTTTTCAAAATTTAAAGGATTACTATTTCCAGTAAATTTAACAAAATTTTGTACTAATAGATTATTTAAAAATATTTTTAAAGTTTATAGATCATTTAAAAAATAAAAATTTTAAATTAAAATAAAATTAAACTTATATTTTTTTGTATTAACCTTTCGATATCCTGTAATTACATGAAATCCTAACAAATTTGTCGGAATCGAACCGCATCAAACCCCATTAGGGGGGAAACTTACATGTTTCTGCATTTACAAAATTCAAATTTAAGATCTTGTTTAAAGAAAATCGAATTTTTTCTATTCGGACTAATAAATGATTGATAAATAAAGGTTACAGATAACAGACTAAAAATTTAATTGGCGGTAAGAGATATAACGAGGGAACTCTCTACGAACAAGTTACCGGCAATTCTCGGTAACCGGTCACTAAGGGGGGTGGGTAGGTACACTTGCCAAAGATGGTAGTAGGTTATATATGGTACAGGTCAACACGTGGTGCCACGTAAGATTTTATTGGCACTATTTTTAGTACTGTATTAATTTATAAAATTATTATTTAATTTAATTTGACGAAGTAAATGCGAGAATAAGAATATTATTACATTTTAAATAATTAATATTATATTTTTAATATTTTTATTTATTATATTTCATATTACATTATTTTTCAAAATTTTTATATTTTTAAATTTTAATAAATTAAAAGATATAATATATATATATATATTTTAACATGGGGAATATAGGAAAGGGGGATTGAGTTAACGAGAATTAGGATCAAGGTCTTACCTTAGTGTACTTGCATTCTATTCAGTGCAATAAGAGTTGTAGATGCATTAAAAGATATAACAATTAATTAAAATAAATATATAATATTAATAATTAAAAATATGACTATAACATTATTCAAGTACTAGATATTTTGTAATTTACTACAAAATAAAAAACTCATTTATTTATTTATTTCTTTTTAAGTCTTCTCCTTCCTTTGTTCGCATTTTGAACCAGGAGGGATTAGAAGCACCACCTCTTTGATCTTTTGTAATTCATTTGATAAATTATATAATGAAGGAAAAAACTATGGTCATGAAAATTTATTTTATACAATACTTTTCAAAATAAAATGAAGATAGTTATTATCATATTTAAAAGTGTTACAATCATAC